CTTTATCCCAGGACCCTGGGATCATGACCTGAGCTGAAGGCACAGGTTTTAACCCACTGAGCCACTCAGGCACCCCAGTATGGGCATTTTAATAATATTAACACCTCTAATCCAGGAACATGGGATGTCTTTCCACTTATTTCACTTCTTTCATCAGTGTTTTGTGGTTTTCAATATATAAGTCCTTCATCTCCTTATTCTTTTTTTTTTTTTTAAAGATTTTTATTTGTTTATTTGTCAGACAGATCACAAGTAGGCAGAGAGGCAGGCAGAGAGAGAGAGGAGGAAGCAGGCTCCCCACTGAGCAAAGAGCCCGATGCGGGGCTCGATCCCAGGACCCTGGGATCATGACCTGAGCCGAAGGCAGAGGCTTTAACCCACTGAGCCACCAGGTGCCCCAGTTAAGTTTATTCTTAAGTATTTACTTTTTTTAAAAGATTTTTTATTTATTTAACAGAGAGAGAGTGTGTGCAAGCACAAGCAGGGTGAATGGCAGGCAGAGAGAGAGAGAAGCAAGCTCCCCACTGAGCAGAGAGCCTACTGTGGGGCTTGATCCTAGGACCATGGGGTCATGACCTGAGTGGAAGGCAGACACTAACTGAGCCACCCAGATGCCTGTATTTTATTCTTTTTGATGTTACTCTAAACTGAATTTTTCCTAATTCCCTTTTTGAATAGTCCATTATTAATGTATAAAAATGCAACCAAATCTTGTATGTTAATTTTGTATCCTGCAACTTTAATGAATTTATTTACTAGTTCTTTAAGTTTTTAAAATGGACTCTTCGGGATTTTCTACTCTTAACAACCAAGTTGTTTGCAAACAAGGATAATTTTACTTCTCCCTTTCCAATGTGGATGTCTTTTATCTCTTTTTATTATCTAATCTGTCTGGCTAGGACTTTTAGTACTATGTTAAATACAAATGGTACAAGTGGGCACCCTTGCTTTATTCTGGATCTTCTTTCTTTTCCTAGTTTGTTGAGAGTTTTTATAATGAAAAGGTGTAGAATTTCATCAAATTTTTTTAAATAAAGATTTTTTGTTTATTTGACAGAGAGAGAGAGAGGTAGAACACAAGCAGGGGCAGTGGGAGAGGGAGAAGCAGGCTTCCCGCTGAGCAGGGAGCCCAATGTGGGGCTCGATCCCAGGACCCTGGGATCATGACCTGAACCAAAGGCAGACGCTTAACAACTGAGCCACCCAGACACCCCTCATCAAATGCTTTTTATGCATCTGCTGAGATGATCTTGTGATTTTACCTTTTATTCCATTGATGTGCTGTTGGATTCAGTTTGCTGGTAAATTACGGAGGATGTACCCATCTATATTCATTAGGGATATTGGCCTATCATTTTCTTTCCTAGTGTGTCTTTGTCTGGTTTTGGTACCAAAGTAATGCTGGCCTACAAAATGAGTTTGGAAGTGTTCTTACCGTTTCAGTTTTTTGGGAAAATTTTGAGAAGGACTGGTATTAATTCCTCTTTAAATGTTTGGTAGAATTCACCAGAGAAGCTATCTGGTCCCAGGCTTGTCTTTGTTAGGGGGTTCTTGATGACTGTTTTAACCTCCATACTGGTTATGTGTCTGATTAGGATTCCCATTTCTCCATGATTTACTTTTACTAGGTTATATGTTTCTAGGAATTCATTCATTTGTTCTAGATTGTTTGTTGGCATATAACTGTTCATATTTGATTCATTTTATTCATGTCATAATTGTAATGTCTCTTCTTTTGTTTCTGACTTTACTTGTCTTCTCCTTTTTTCCATAGTTATTCTAAGGGTTTGTCAATTTTATTTGTTAAAAAAACTATTTCATTTGTTTTTTTCTATTTTCTATTTTTAAATTTATATTTGCTTTAATTTTTGTTAATTTCTTCTTTCTGCTAACTCTGGGCTTGGTTTCTTTCTAGCTCTAAAAGTTAAATTGTTTTAGGTCTAGCCATATAGCTGGGTCACGGTTTTTTATCCATTTGGTCCTTCCATGTCTTTTGATTGGGGGAATTTAATCCATTTACATTTAGAGTGATTATTGATAAGGAAGGACTTATTTTTGCTATTTTTAAAGATAAGGAAGTTCACTTATAGCAGAGATAGGAGGCTAACATGATAGCACTCAGACTTGTTTTTCCTTACCCCCTTTCTTCCATTTCTACTAGGCTGCTAGGGGTCTCCTAGGATTCAGAAGTGTGTTTGTATGAGTGTGTGTGTCCCATATTCTGGGCAGTGCTTCCCTCCAAAAGCCAGGGATTTAATGGAATTCGAACTGAAATGTTAAAAAGAAAAAAATTCAAGCCACTTATCTGTTAAAATTAGGATAGGCCATGCCCTGAGTAATCCAGACATTCTCCTCTTCTCCAGGGCCCAGAATCTTCCCCTGAGATCTGTTTCAACATCAAGAACTCTTTCCACCATCCTCCTTTCCTCCCTGAGTTTGGTGGTGTGAAACTCAAGAAGCTGGTCATGCTGCCTTGACAAGGCTGCTTGATACTATGGGTAAGGCGAACTTGGGGAAGTTTAGGATTCCTGAGTGTAGGAAACTTCTTCCAAAACAGCAGCTTCTCATGGTGGGGTTCTAGTATGGCCAGGGAACCGCTGGCAGTCTCCTGAAAAGGGCTGCAATCCTTGGGATCTGAAGCACCACAGTTGTAGGGATCACCCTCATTACTCACACAACAATTTCTGTTTCTGACTTTCTCATATTTGGGCTGGCTTGTTTACACCCCACTTTGTCCCTAAAGAGGACTGGAAGTGGCTTCTCTGGCTAAGCCTTGTGCAAGGTGCTACTGGTAAAGAGAGAAGATTCTATTTCTGTCTTCTGGGAATTGACAGTCCAAATTCCAATCCTAGACTACCCCTAAATTCCCACTGAAGAAAGCTTCCTTGGCTATTAGTGCAAGCACTAAAAAAATCAAGGCATAGAGATATGACTAAAAACGCCAACAGACAAATTAAAATGCAGTTAAAATGAATATTTAGTTAACTCAAAAAGAAAGTGGGAAAGAAGGAGCAGAGAACGGAAAACAAAAAGGAGAAAACACCCAACTGTATCAATATTACATTAAATATAAATGACTAAACATTTTGATTAAAAGAAAGTTTATCAGACTGCATAAAAGCAAGATAGCTTTTATATATAAAAACATAAGTTGAAGAAAAATGATATGTATGCAAAAATAAGCATAAAAAGACTAATATTAACACGAGATAAAGTAGACTTCAAGACAAAGAGTTTTATCAGTGATAAAGAAGAACATTTAATAATGACAAAAATGTCAATTCTTCAGGAAGATATAACAGTCATAAATTTGTGCGCACCCAAATCAGAGGACAAGATGTTAGTGAGGATAAATTTAAAAGTCTTAGCTATGGGAGGCTACTGTGAACTGGATATGGGGTTTAGTCTCAGCAGCTGGTACAGGATTTGTGGGTACCCATGTGAGCATGGAATTGTTCTGCTTATAAAATTCTAGGAGTAGTCAAAAGCATCTAGTGAATCTCAACATTCTAAGCTGAGACAATTAGAAGAAATGAATAAAGCAGGGTCTCCAATTTGGGAACAAAATATGGGCCAGGCTGCTCTTTCAGGTGTGCCACAGAACACTGGCCCTTCAGACTATGAGCCCCCATCTCAGCTTTTCATGTCACCTTGGTAAGGCTCACAGAGACAATTGAGAGGAGCAGGTCTATTCTCCTTAGCAGGGGCTATGAGGCTTTGGTCCTGCTTCCCATTCAGCCTCATCTCCTCTCCTCCCTCATTCTGAAACCCAGCCATGGCTTCTGTCAATCTAAGAATATGTGCTGTTTCCTCCATTAAAAAATGCCAGTGAGCCTTCTCTACTGTACTCTTGTTCCTACTTCAAGAATGGCTCAGCAGCTGACAGTTAAACAGAATGGCAGCTGAGCTAATTGAAGAAGGAAAATCTTGAGGATCAAGGAAATGAGTTAATAATTGACCACACAATTTAGGCTGAGTGGGAAGGGGGAAGGGACATCAAATGAGGATTGACAATGAAAAGATGATGAGTTCAAAGGGACCCATTTAGGTTCAGTCTTGGTTGCAATTCAGTGACAGATGGAGTAACTGGGAAAGACAGGAGATGCTGGTCAGACTGTGGAGGTGTGACACTGAAAAATGAACATACATTCTACTTCACATTGTTATTTTCTGAGGTGTTCAATGTTTCATTTTAAAATGGATGAAATATTCATCTAAATGTTATCAAGTCTTGAGTCCCTATTTTTCCTCTTGTGTCCCAGTTGAGTAGTGGTTTGATAACAAAATTGTCTCATATCATCAAGAGCAGCTTTCCACGAGTTAGGTAACCTGTATACTTGTCATTCTGAAAGGACAGTGCCTGACTAGACACCTGATGGCCTAGGCTCCTTACACAACATCACTGAGTTTTGATAAATCATGATGAAAGATAAAAATCTCTAGCAATGAAGACAGTCATGGGGATTTCCTTTTGGGCTATATTCCTTATTCTTTAATATCATAAACTGCTAAAATTCTTCTTGGATAGCTTCCAGGACAAATGAGTTGCATAATAAGATTTTTTTTTTTTTTTTTTTGCATAATAAGATTTTTAAAAGCTCACCAAAATTGGCTCTGGTATTGAAAAGGAAACCAGGAAACAAAGCAAGTTTCAGAATCAGCAGAACCTGCTGAAGATACATCCTACAAGTTTAAAACTGGCATACAGAAAAGGATCCTTGTCTAGATTTTATCATTGTAACATGCTAAGTTTCACTCTCCCTGACACAGTGGACATGAACGTAGTAGTAAGGACATGGGTCTCTATTATAGGTTCATATCCTAAGATGAAACCAGTAACATTTAGATAACCTGCCTCCCAAGTTAGCCCAACTAATAGATCTTTGAAACCAGGAATGATGATACCTTTACAAAAAGGAAAACCACACAGATTCTTGCTATGGTCGGAGAGTTCTTTCATCCCTAAGAGGTGAAGAATGTCAGGAAAAACTCAGACTCACCAGGGCTTGCAGTTTAGGACAGTGGACAGAGAGCTGGATGAGTGTGCTGTCGGTGATCTGGAGGGAAACAAGCTGTGTCAATGTGGCTTCCACACCAGAACTTAATACCTAAGTTTGGTTTCTCCTGAACATAAGAATCAAAAGGTGTAAAACAATTAAAAACTCATCTCAAACACATTCAGGCTGGGAGCCCCTCTCTTCACCAACAACCTCAAATCTTGTAGACACAAAGCTGTTCTTGGTCTCTCCTCTGTGCCTCAAGGGGGTCCAGGGATAGGGGACAAAGAAGGAGTAGGTAAAGAGGGTCCCCAGGATTCTCCTCTGTAGTCACCTCAACACTGGACATGCAAACTTATTTCTCCCTTCAGTTCTGTGGAAGTTTTTTTTTTTTTTTTAATGTTTGGCAAAAACTGGAGCTACCCTGAACTTCTCAGCTACAGCTCTGATGGCTGAGAAGAGCCCAAACTTCATGCATCCCACTGCCCTAGCCCTTATGGGGGTCCCAATTCCTGACATGCTGGGGTGAGAAGGGTCCAGACAATAGCCAGCTGGGGTCTCTGGCTATGCCTGGTTGTCTCTTAGGTCTGAGGGGCAGCCCTGCAGGACTTGTCAGGAGTCTACTTACCAGGATGCATTCTTCAAGATCCATCTTCTCCAGGTCATGGCAATTCTGGAAAAGTCCATAAGATACCACCCCCCCACCACCACCATGTGGTCAGTGGTTAGGGCAACATGGGTGGCTTGCTGTATCCCTCTGAGTACTGGCCCAGTATCCTTGTTCTCTTCCCTTTAGGAGTATGTCCTGTTCCTAAAGTGACCCAGTGAGCCAGCACTTCTGAGCAGGTGCTTTTTGAATCACATTCCCTTTGGCAATGGGAATGTGGCCACCCTGGGCTACAATCCTTCTCTCACCTGGAAAGGTAGTGGCCTCCACCTTCCCAGTGGCTATGGATATCATCCTGTAAATTTTAGCCATAGAATAGGCTTGGAAAAGCATGGGGGTGGGGTGCTCAGGCACAGTTTGGACAGGTGAGTGTTAGGGTAGAGGAAAAGTATCACCATCCCCAGAAGGTCATGGGTTCCCAGCTGCAGACAAGAGGAACCCCCATGATAGTCAGCATCTGCAGGGTGATGTGGAAGAAGGAGCAGAGGCAGACAACAGCTCAACTGGGGAAGCTACTGAGAGACTGAGTCAGGGTTTGAATGAGGAAGGGCATGTCCTGCCAGGGAGGAAATTCCTCTTGTGGTCCCGCCTGACCAAATGAGAGTGAGATTTAGACCTGCTCCAGAAACCCCTACAGGACCACCTTAGCATTCTGGGGAAAATGGGAAACGTATCCTGAGGACCCTAGTCTACTTGGTACCTGTCCTTTCTAAAGGTACATAATTTTGCACACCCTAAAACCACAGCAAGTTATTTTGAAATGAGAGGTAAATTATAGTTTGGTTTTGTTTTTTGAAACCTCTGGCTTACCCGAGCTAAAAGTGTAAAGCCTGCATCAGTCAAATGGGAACATCGGGCAGCCTCCAAAATCCTGGGATACAGAGTGCGTGGGAGGAAAAGGCAGTGACTGGTTAACAACAGAAATACACACTTTATGAAGCACACTCTTGAGGTTATTCTGCCTTCTGACACACCTCTGCTTCTGGAATAGTCCTGAGGACAGTAAATGCAAATGCTGTCCCACAGGATAGATGATGGGAAGAAGGCTTAGGGGAAAGTGTGGCCTGCCCTAAGTCCCACAGTTCCAGCCCAAATTCAGGGAGAAAACCCAGGAATCTTCCCACAATTCCAGGACATTGCTGCTGTTGCTGCTATTTTCAAATATTATTCCAATATTTGTTGACTCTTAAACACAATTAAAATGAGCTTTTACTCAACAAAATGATCTTTATATATATTGTATTTAAATGAAATTCCCAGTTACCCTAAAAGGAATTTTAAAAATTTGTAGCCAGTGAAAAACGTGAGTTAATTCTCAATGCCCATGCTTAGTAGGGATGGAGAAATAACATTTTAAAGTTAAATACTCCCCTGTAGCAGTAATTTTGACCACCTTTCTGACCAGTTTTGATCACCCACATTCCTTCTACTACTCAGAAATATCAAAATAGTCTAGAATCATCCCCAATGAAACAGTAAGAAAAATGGGCAAAGGACAGCAATAGATAATCGGTAAAAGATGTGAAACTGGTGTAAGCATGAGAAACTGATCAGTTCCACTGAGAAGTAAACAACAAAATAAGTTTCTTTCTTCTGTCTTTTGTACAAGGGCTAAGATTGCTGGTTCTGAACAACGATTCAAGTTCAAACTCTAGTTTTACTTCCTTCTCATCATATGACCCAGGATAGATTATGTGATTTTCTTTGACTCCCAGTTTCTCATCTGAAAAACAAGTGAGAATGATAGTGCATATCTCCTAGAGAAGTGGAGAGGACTAAATGAGATAATGCTTATAAAATTGCCCAACACAGAGCCTGGAACACAAATGAGTTCAACTGGTGTGAACTATGATTAGTACTTTGTTGCCATAGTTAAAGTTTTACTATTCATAATATTATTGGAGAAAATAAATCTTTATTTGTTAAAACAAAACTTTCTTCTTCTAGGAAAGGTGATAAATAAGGTGACTGTGATCCCCCTCCCCATCTTCTGTCCATTTAGCAACTGGTTTAGGGGAGAATCTGGTAACACTGGGATGTGAGGCTGTCATTCTGACCCTATCAGATCACTCTGATGTCAAAGCTATAACAGGATGAGGCAAATCAGGTGGGCACATGTGTCAAGTCCACCAAGAAATTATAGTTCAGGTTCCCTGGTGGTGTACAGTTCATCCCATCCACTCCTCCCATACATCCCTAAATAAACCAGATTACGTATTGTTCTACCCCAACCCATCTGATAAAAGCCAACAATAACCCAACCACTGCCACCACCTCTATCATTACCTATCCACCTGCTGGTAAGGCTTTCCCTTCCTGCAGGAAGCCCTCCTGGTCAGTCCAGCAAGCTCTGAGCTACAAAGCAAAAGAATGGTGCACTTACTGAAGTCTTGGGCAGTTCAAAGCCAGGGCCGTGAGAGAGGCGTCTGTGAGGTTGCTGCAGCCAGAAAGGCACAGAGCCTGTAGCCGATGGCAGCCCCTGCATATCTGCACGACACCTTCATCTGTAATGCGCTGGGGAAGTCCAAACAGGAAGGAACATCAGAAGGCACCAACAATATTGAAAAATAGGATCTACTGCTGGTCAATTAGTTGGGCTGCCAAATACCAGCATTTTATCCTAATAATTTAATAAAACAAGATGAAGTACAGGGTTGACATGTATTTGTTATCTCTGTACAGTTTTAAAATATTCTAGTACTGACAGAGAATAAAATTTTTTATAAATACAAATTTATTTTAAGATTTTATTTATTTATTTGACAGAGACCACAAGTATACGGAGAGGCAGGCAGAGAGAGAGAGAGAGAGAGAGGGAAGCAGGCTCCCTGCTGAGCAGAGAGCCCGATGCGGGACTCGATCCCAGGACCCCGAGATCGTGACCTGAGCTGAAGGCAGCGGCTTAACCCACTGAGCCACCCAGGCACCCGAGAATAAAATTAAAAAAAAAAAAAAAAGATTTTATTTATTTATTTGACACAGAGAGAGAGAGAGATCACAAGCAGGCAGACAGGCAGGCAGAGGTTGGGGGGAAGCAGGCTCCCTGATGAGCAGAGAGCCTGATGCGGGGCTCGATCCCAAGACCATGAGATCATGACCTGAGCCGAAGGCAGAGCAGCAGGCAAAGAAAGAGGGGGAAGCAGGCTCCCCACTGAGCAGAGAGCCTGATGTGGGGCTCAATCCCAGGGCCCTGAGATCATGACCTGAGCTGAAGGCAGAGGCTTAACCCACTGAGCCACCCAGGTGCCCACAGAATGAAATTTTTTTAAAAGATTTAGAGAGAGAGAGAGCGAGTGCACAAACAGGGGGAAGTGCAGAGAAGAGAGAGAGGGAAAGACTCCTCAAGCAGACTCCCTGTTGAGCACAGAGCCTGACACAGGGCTCTATCCCAGGACCCAGGGATCATGACCTGAGCTGAAATTGAGTCAGATGCTCAACTGACTGAGCCACCCAGGTATCCCGCCAAGAGTGAATTTTAAAAAAAATTTCATCCCCCTCCCCAGAGTTCATTTGATTTTTTTTTTTGAGGAAAAATTCACAAACTTAAAAATCTTAAAAATCAGATTAAATAAAGAGCTCATAAGATTTGCCTGGTTAAGGGCACCTGGGTGGCTCAGTGGGTTAAAGCCTCTGCCTTCGGCTCAGGTCATGATCCCAGGGTCCTGGGATCAAGCCCTGCATTGGGCTCTCTGCTCTGTGAGGAGCCTGCTTCCTCTTCTCTCTCTGCCTGCCTCTCTGTCTACTTGTGATATCTCCCTGTCAAATAAATAAATAAAATCTTAAAAAAAAAAAAAAGACTTGCCTGGTTAAGTGACATCATAATTTTTGGTTGAATTTCTACAGATTAATGCTTTAAATATCTGCTATATAAATCATATACATACATATATATGTTATATATATATGTATTTTTAAAATATTTTATTTATCTATTTTACAGAGAGAGAGAGAGAGAGAACACAAGCAGGCAGAGGGGCAGACAGAGGGAGAGGGAGAAGCAGACTCCCTGCTGAGCAAGGAGCCCAATGCAGGACTCAATCCTAGAACCCTGGGAACATGACCTGACCCAAAGGCAGCCACTTAACTGATTAAACCACCCAGGGGTCCCATATATGTATATATTTATAATATTTCCTCAAATGTTTTAGAAAATAGCAAATAAAATATATCACTAAATTATTGTTAAATGACTTGCATTTTTTTATAAAGATTTATTTATCCATTTTAAAGATGGACAGAGAGAGAGAGTGCTGGGAGGGAAGAGGAGGGAGAGAAGCCTCAAGCAGACCGGCAGAGGGCCCAGTCCCACAACCCATGAGATCATGACCCATGACATCATGTCCTGAGCTGAGACCAAGAGTCAGATGCTCAACAGACTGAGCCACCCAGACGCCCCTGGCTTGCACATTTATATTCTACTTTAAGTCGTCTGTGAGTGCTCTCACTACAAGATCCTAATACTGAGCAGTACCGTAAGTCATCTGTCCACATGACAGTTTCTGTTCTATCTTCCACCATCAAGGATTCTAAAGACATGACTCATTCACTGAATACCAACTGCAAAGATTTCTCTTAACATTTCTCAAAATTTATGTTCCCCTTGGGAAGCCCAGGAGCATGTAGCAAGCATTCTCTTCAAGGATCAATACTGACAATGGCAGTGAGGACGGAATAATCGTTTTTCACATGTTAATGTCACGATGAAAATTACACCTTGCTCTTGAATACATCCTTCATGTTTCAAAGCATTTTCACATCTCTCATTTCATTTTGTCCACTATCATTATCCCCAGCTTCTAAGTTAAGAAAAAATAAAAGACACTGAGACCTTATATGAATTTGTTCAGCTTAGTGACTAGTTCATAGCATTTCTATCATAAAATAAACCAAGACGTCAATTTATGTTATTTTTAGGGGGAAATATAAGTGGCTTTGTATGGGCCACCTTGTTTAGACTGTTATTCTTTCATCTTGTGGCAAACTGACAGATCGTATGAGGACAAAGAATAAGAAAACAGGGTGTGACGACCATCCCTCCTGCCTGGGGGCTTCAAAGTGGGGCCCACAGGAGACTCAAGGAACGTGGCACAGGAGGACACTCCCAGGAAAAGCGTGTTACTTACTGAGCAGGACTGTAAGTTGAGGCTCACAAGCTCATGGCAGTAATTCTGAATGTGTTTCAGAGCTTCATCTTCTAACTGAGTGGACAGAGAGAACAAAAGGGGGATGGAACCAGGTGAGGGAATAGTGGCGAACCAAGAAAAATGCAACAGCAAGTTCTCTAATGAAGTGCCCACACCTCATGTTAGAGAAACAAACCTCAACCAAGCCCTCGGTACCTGTGTGCAGCCCCTCAGGAGCAGGGCTTTCAGGCCTCGGCAACCTCGCACCAGTGCCTCAATGCCATCCTTCGTGATCTGGTCACACCAAGAGAGGTTCAGGTACTCCAGGTTTCGGCAGCCCTCACTGAGAGAACAAGAAACGGTCACACATGTGCAATCTATCCTACAGATAGTTCATTACCAAGTCTGAGTTTAGTAACTCACAAACAATTAAGGGGAGAGAAGACCTCTTTGTTGTTCCAGTGGGATCATTAGAAAGTTTTAGGCACACCAGGATGCTCTTAGGTTTAGGTGTTTCTTCTAACAACAGGTACTCTTACCTGATCCCCTTTAAGGAGCTGTTTGTAATGGACACACAGGAGGTCAGATCCAGATGTTTTAGCTTGGAACAGAATCTGCTAAGGCTATAACATGTGCTGGAAAAAAGCAGACACACTAAAGATATTTTCAACCATGTTTCTCTCCCCTCACTCTCCTGATGGTCAATTTGTCACCAAACTCATTCTCATTCCTTACCTGTCAGTGATTTTGGTGCACCCATTGAGGTTTAAATGTTCAATGTTTCTGCAGTTCTGTGCAAAGGTCCTAAAAAGAGAAAACATTTTAAAGCTCCCTGGTCAGCCACTAGAGGGCATGTGTCACCGTTCACATTTAACACAGTGCTCCTCAAACTTTTACATTTTAGTTTACTGTGGAAAGAACACTTAACATGAGATTTACTCTCGACAAATTTCAAGTGTACAATAAGTTATTGTTAACCATAGGTGCTGGTGCTCCTCAAACTTTAATATGCACATGAAACAGCTGGAGTTCTTGTCTAGTGCAGATTTTTTTTTTTAAGATTTTATTTATTTTTATTTGACAGAGATCACAAGTAGGCAGAGAGGCAGGCAGAGAGAGAGAGAGGAGGAAGCAGGCTCCCTGCAGAGCAGAGAGCCTGATGCGGGGCTTGATCCCAGGACCTTGGGATCATGACCCGAGCCGAAGGCAGAGGCTTTAACCCACTGAGCCACCCAGGTGCCCCCACAGTGCAGATTCTTTTTTTTTTAAGATTTCATTTATTTGACAGAGATCACAAGTAGGCAGGGGCGGGGAGTAGGCTCCCTGCTGAGCAGAGAGCCCGACATGGGGCTTGATCCCAGAACCCTGAGATCATGACCCAAGCCAAAGGCAGAGGCTCTAACCCACTGAGCCACCCAGGCGTCCCCACAGTGCAGATTCTAATGGTACAGCTTGACAAACTGTTTGATGGTCTGCATTTCTAAAAAATTCACAAGTGATGCCACTGCTGCTACCTGGGAACTACACTTTGAGAGACAAAGCCCAAGACCAACTACGTATCAGTCATAATGTTCCTTCAACCCACACCCTGGTGAACATCTTAGAAAGGAGGCCTGGCTCCTTGTTCCTTCCTCTCTATAGAAAAATCAGTTGGAAGCAAGGGGATTGGATCTTTCTTGTATTGTGCCATGATGTCAGTTGGTTGTTCAAGAGCCTTTCTGAAGAAACTATCTTTGGCCACTGATAGGATCAGTAGTTGATCAGTATGAAGAACCATCCACTTCCTGGTGAGGATATTGAGTCATGAAGAGAAACTTCCTCAATAATTTGTGGGGGTGACAAAAGGGCCAAAAGCGGAAAATTAAACATCCCTTAGCACTTATTCCTTAAAATATTCAGCAAGGACTGACTTTTACTGAAATACAGCTTCAACGTATTTTTAGTGTTGAACCCTGATTCTTCCATGCAGTCTCCAAAACCTGGCCTCAAACTGTGTCACTCTTATCTGCTCCTTCTACCCTGGTATGGTGCTATGGAACTGACCTGGAGGCTGGTGGAATCCTGAGTTGAAGATATGGAGCCAAAATCTGACCAAGGTCATTAGAGTTATCAGAGAAGAGTACTGGAGCACAGAGAACTTCAGAGGGTTCCTCTCAAGAATTCAGTAGAGTACTAATCAGGGCATGCATATAGGGAAACTACCCAAAGCCAGGGAAAGAATCATCAAAAAGCATTAGAAGGAACAACAGCCAGAGCTCACCCATAGCCAGGAAAGTGCCCATTCCCATAAATCAACAGTGAAAAAGTCTCAATTTGTGGGATACTGCGTAGAGCACTAACAAGTACCTTGCATCAGGTGTACAGTTAGTGCTCAACTAAACATGGCTTTGGTCCAACTTAACAAATTTAAAAAAGAAAAAGATTTGAAAGGAACTAAGTCCAAATAACTCAACTGTGTCCAGAATAAAACTCAATAATATCTATAGGAATAAAAAATGTTTTGCACCCAAAATAAAATTCAGAATGTCTGGCATTGAACAAAAAATTGGCATGCATTCAAAGAAGGAAAATATATCCATAATGAGGAGAAAAATCAACCAAAGTGGGGCGCCTGGATGGCTCAGTTGGTTGGGTGTCTGCCTTCAGCTCAGATCATGATCCCTGGGTCCTGGGATCGAGCCCCTCATCAGGCTCCCTGCTCGGCACAGAGCCTGCTTCTCCCTCTCCCTTTGCCTGCTGCTCCTCCTGCTTCTGCTCTCTTTCTTTCTCTGTGTGTCAAATAAGTAAGTAAAACCTTAAAAAAAATCAACCAAAGCTGACCCAAAACTGACACAAATATTAGAAATAGTAGACAAAGACATTAAAAGTTACTATAACTGTGTTCTGTAGAATATAGTTCTATGAAGTTACATAAAGATTAAACATGTTATGATTATTAAATGTGGAAGATAAAAGAACAGCATAAATGAGCTGTGGGACAGCTTCAAACAATCTACTATACATGTGACTGGGAGTCCTCAAGGAACAGGAGTTTGGGCAGGGGTGGGATCAGGTAGAATATCTGAAGTAATGGCCAAAATTTTTCCAAAGTTTCTGAAAACTATAAACCTGCAAATCCAAGACAGTCAAAGAATTCCAAGTACAAGAAATATGAAGAAGGCATATCATAACTGAATTGGTCAAAACCAGTGACAGAAAAATCTTAAAAGCAGCCAGAGAAAAAGATACATTATGTACAGAGAAAGAAGAATAAGGGTGACAGATTTCTCATTGGTTTAAAAAAAAAAAAAAAAGGCAACAACAGGAAAACCAAGGAGACGCATCTTTAAAATACTGAAAAAACTGTCAACAGAATTCTATACTAAGCAAAAATATTTTTCAAAAATTTTTTTTGAAAGATTTTATTTATTTATTTGACAGAGACACAGTGAGAGAGGGAGAAGAAGGCTTCCCACTGAGCAGGGAGCCTGATGCAGGGCTCGATCCCAGGGCCCTGGGATCAGGACCTGAGCTGAAGGCAGACACTTAATGACTGAGCCACTCAAGTGACCCTCAAATATTTTTGAAATAAATATGAAGGACTAATAATGTTTTTTTTCCCCAGATACAGAAGGGTTGAAAGAATTAATCACATCTGCAGTACAAGAAATATTAAGGAACATTCTATAGGTAGAAAAAAGAGTGATACTACACAAAGGAATCAAGAATACTGGAAATAGTAACCACTTGGGTATATAAATCACTTTTCTAGTTATTTAAATCTCTTTTAAAATAATCAACTATTAAAAAATACTAACAATCTGGGGCGCCTGGGTGGCTAAGTGGGTTAAGCCTCTGCCTTCAGCTCAGGTCATGATCCCAGGGTCCTGGGACTGAGCCCCGCATCGGGCTCTCTGCTCAGCAGGGAGCCTGCTTCCCCTGCCTCTCTGCCTACTTGTGATTTCTCTCTCTCAAATAAATAAATAAAATCTTAAAAAAAATACTAACAATCTAGTGTGGAGTAGTTTGTATTATATATAGAATTAAAATGTGTAATAGTAACAGCATAAAGGTTGAGTGAGGAAAAACGGAAGTGATCTGTAATACAATTTGAAGGTAGACTATAACAAGTTAAAGATGTACATTACAAAAACTCTAGAGCAACCATTAAAATTACAAAATAATAACTTATAACTCTAATCAAACAAACGACATAAAATGGAATCCTAAAAAAATTCTCAACCTAAAAGAAGGCAGAAAAAGAGGAAAGGGAAAGAAAATATGTATGGGACAAACAGAAAACATCAAGAGAGTAAATTTAAAAATAACCATAACAGATCAATTATCACATTAAATGTAAATGATCTAAATACAAAATTAAAAAGCATAAATTGTAATAATGGATCAAAAAAGCAACATCCAACCATATATTGCCTACAAGAAAACAACTTTAAATATAAAGACACAAATTGGTGAAAAGTAAAAGAATGGAAAATTGTATGCCAAAAAAAGAAAGCTGGAGTATCTATATAATATCAGACAAAGTAGACCTCACAGCAAAGAATATTACCAGAGATAAAAGAAGGCCATGTGATAATGAAAAACTGGTCAATTCATCATAAAGGTGCAGCAACCGTAGGTTTATATAGGTTTATTAGGTTTATATACCTAATAACAGAGCTTCAAAATACATGAAGATATAACCTGAGGAGAAACAAATCTGAAATTACAGGCAGAGATTTCAATATAACTCTGTCAATATTTGATCAAATAAGAAGTCAGAAAATCTGCAAAGATATAAAAGACTTTATCAACACTCTTATTCAACTTGATCTAATTGATATTTATAGAACGCTTCACCCAACAACAGCAGAGTACATATTCTTTTCAAGTGGATATGAACATTTACCATGACAGACCATATTCTTGGCTACAAAACAAGTTTCAATAAAATTAAAAGGACTCAAGTCATATAAAGTATATTCACTGATCACAATGGAATTAAATTAGTAATGAATAACAAAAAAAAATCTGGAAAATGCCCAAATATTTAGAAGCAAAATAACACGCTTCTAAATAACCCCTGGGTCAAGGAAGAAATCAAAAGGGAATCAAAGGGAAAGAGTGTATATTTTTAATGGAATGAAAATGAAACACATAATTAGAATTTGTGAAATACTACTAAATCAATACTTCAGGAGAAAATCTTCATGTCCCTGGGTTAGGCAAAGATCTTATATATCACCAAAAGTATCATTCACCAAAAGCATGATTCATTCAAAAAAACCGGTAAGTTGAACTTCATGAAAATCTTCTCTTCAGAAGACCCTCATGAGAATAAACAGATAAGCCACAGACCAGGAGAAAACATTTAAAAAACGCAAATCTGATTAAGGACTTGTATGCAGTATATAACTCAAAATTCAGTGGTAAGACAAAAAACAATCTAATTAAAAAAAAAAAGTCAAAACCCCCACATTTGAACAGATATTTCAGCAAAGAAAATATGCAGATAGCAAAAGTACACAAAAAGATGCTCAAAAGCACTAATTGTTAGAAATACAAATTAAAACCAAAATCAGATGCTACTACATATATCTATTAGAAACACTAAAATTAAAGAGAATGACCTACCAAGTGTTGACAAGGATATGGAGGAGCTGGAAGTACCATACACTTCTAGTGGGAATATAAAATGGTATAATCCTTTTGGGAAATAGTTTGAAAGTTTTAAAAAGTTAAACACACACCTACCAAACGATCTAACCATTCCACTCCTAGGTATTTTCTCAAGAGAAATGAAAACATATGACACACAAAACCTT